TCCACATCTAACATATTCCTACATAGCTCTTCATCAAATCTTTCATAGAATTTTTGTTCTGTGAAGAAAACTGCAAAGGCCATCGATGATCTACATATGTGTCATTTAGACATTTCTAGATTTTGGTGGTTCGAAAATATCATATTTCCTCGATGAGGTTTCAGTTCTTTTCAGGTAATAATTTGGAACTTAATAACTTTTTCTATGAAATTTTCCCATTCACAGCAACAACTGTTTCCCTTCTGCACCTTTTCTCCTTATATGAAGGTAATTTCACACCTGAAACAAATGAGATTCAGAAAAAAGGTTTTCTTCTGCTATGATTAATAACGTTGAGCTGCTCTCTATGAAGAGGCCGATAGCTCGTCCATTTTGTCTCCTCTGGTGAGATTACAGAAATAGAACTGCAAGGTAGAAGTCCACCTCGCAGAGAATAAAGTGTGTTGACATGTGGGCTGACAGGATGAATACTGCTGTGTTTTATGTCCACATTTCAATTTTAAACGTCTCATTCTGTACTGTCGGAGCAGCAAATGACCGTCGCTACGGGGAAAATCAGCCAAAATACATTTGTTAAGAACTAACAGCTACTAAAGGACACAAACTCATTTCCTTGCTGAGTTATTCTTGTTCCTTCTGAACAGCTGTAACAAACCGTGAAGCGATTCTGACCAGGATGTCTTTGGATAACACTATAAAGCAACTTTATTTCACTCACTGCATCAACAAAATGAGGAACATCCAGTTCCAGAGCGACGCGGAAAGAAGGGAACTTTTTCATTTGCCATCACTGTCATCGGAATCAGATTTGCAAGTCAAAACAATGCAACAGACTTTCTTTTTGACAGGACACATAGCAGTGTTTAAAAATGGCAGAATTTCATGACCAATCATGTACAGTAAAAAAAAACAGAAAAAAGGAAAAAAAAAGGGCGGACTTGGTCACACTTTGAATCTTGTTATAATGTTATTCCCTCATCAAAAACATGTATCCCTGATTCTTTACAAATGAGAAATCATTTAAAAAGGACAAAGCCTCAAAACGCCTCCTGGATATGTTTGCTTTATTTTAATTGTAAAAAGTTCTTTAAATGTCCTGTGAGTAAATACTTTTGTCAATTTTTCCATAATAACTGGAGCTTTCGATATCCAGCAGCTACTTACTATTTGCTCTGTATTAAAAGTATGTTTCATCAAATTAAAATGAAGAAAACGCAAATTGTTTTCAGAGGTTTAATGAACAACAAAACAAAGCAAAAATATAGACAAAGCAAAAATATAGACAATTTTGAACATAAATACAGTATGATGTTTAGTTGCTCCATGTAATATTAGTTAAATATTTATTTTTAAAGAAAGTGACTTTTGGTGATTAATTACTGTCCCAAAACAACTTTCACATTCAGTTTGTGGGTTTTAAATCAAAGCGCAGCAGGGCTGCCTCTACCTGACCTTTCTCTGGTTGCGTTTTCACAAGCAGAGATTTTGCAGGGAAGAAAATTAAATCACACTCAAACGTTGGGGATGTGAACACAGGCCTAATCCCCTGCGCCTTCCCGTCCCCGCCGTTCCTGAACAGTTCGGCTTTAACAGCGATAAGATGCGGCTTCGCTGCATTCCTTTAGCTCATGTGCAATCCGCCTCAAGGTGTTCTGTCTCTTTAAGGTCATATGATGTGAAGCTGAAATAAAGCAGTCTAATACAGCCGTAAAGTCCCTCAGGCCAGGTGAGTGTATTTTTTTCCCTTCTTACTTCCTTCATTTTTTCCTGTACTTCTTCTTCTTATTTTTTTTGAAATGCCACACTTCTTTCAAGATATTATTTGATATCCTTTCGCTTTTCTATACTTGAGAGATTGCTACAAATCCATCACACACACACACACACACACACACACACACACACACACACACACACACACACACACACACACACACACACACACACACACAGATACACACTGCACTCTGATTTTCCCTACACAAAACCTTGTTGGTACATTGGCCTTTTTGCGCTATAAAGATATTGCTTATTACACCCGCAGCCCATCGGGGCAGGAGAAAGGTTGAATTAAGGATTTGATGAGATAGGTTGTGACATGTTAGCATTTAGCGGAGTAACAGCGACTCCCCGGCTTCGGCCCCGGCCGGCTCTGAGAGTCCACTGGGAAAGGTCAGCGCTAATGCTGGCTGGTCGGATCATTTGCTTGATTCTGTCTTTTTTTTTTTCTTTTTTTTTTCTCTCCCTGCATGTACTTCCTACTTCCTTCCTGCTTGTTTCCTAAAGGACCCCCAATTATGTGTGTGCAGGTAATGGAGCCGCTGCCGGTGGGGGTGTGTAAGGGTGTGGGGTTGTGGGGCAGGGAAATTAGGGGTCAACGAAGCCCCAGCAGAGCATGTGCTGACTCGTGCTGAAGGACACTCCAGCAGGGCGGCTATCTGCTGACACACAGGTTTGAACCTCACTCATTCGTCTGGAGAGGCTCTCCCAGCCGTAGCAGTCCCACAGTAATCACCCAGATTCATTATTTTTGCAGATTCACATTTTTTGCTCCCCCCATTACTGAGGTTATATTGTGTATTTTCGGGACTTTAGCACCGCATTGCTGACAAATATTTGCAGCCAGGCCTATCCCTCTGTTAATAGATCCACAAAGGTCGTAACTAATACAGCCAGCTTGTTATGTTTTAATGGTGAATATGCACAACAGAAAAGCGCTTATTGTGGAGGATAATGAGCACTTTTAAAGGTTTTGTTAAAACATTTCTAAATCTACATTGTGTGTACAAAGTACAAAACGAACCACAAACACATTTATGGACTTGTATAATAGGTTTAATATAGAAAGGTATTAACGATGCAAGGATCATTTTTGTTTAGTTCTTTATTATGCTGTCTTGCTTCATTTTCCATAAATTTGTAATGTTTCATTCAAGACAATAGTTCAGTGTTCTCATAAACAAAAACAAATCTGCCAGTCATGTACACACAGGTCTGTTGTGAGCAGAGTGGCAGTAAATTTATTATCTAGTTTGTCCATCAAGCTGCCTTTATGCAAAGAACTGCATAAGTACAGATGGAGCCACACACTTTGCTCAGTGGTTCAGGAATTAAAAAGGTTGCTGTACTCTTTGCATCGCACGTTTTTTTAATCGTTCATTTTAATAATGCCTATTGGTCCCCTTGGAAATAATAAAAGCTTGGACATCGATCAGTGAAATCACTCCGGATATGGCATGTTATCCGCACATTTCATAACCTGCTTTGGCACAAACTACACATCATATGCTACATTCTGTGTACATATTTTTCTCCTGATGATTTTTTACAATACCAAGTGCTTTTCATTTTTTTCTTCCAATTTTTCTGAGTAGTTTCTATTTTTCTTTTTTTTAAAGTAGTTTTATTTTCTGCAAGAATGTTTTAATTGGATGGTTGTTTTTAGAATTGGTCCCACTAATTAAGCTGGGAGTTGCCACTGAATTTTATGGTAGTTTGATAATGACATCAAAGATGGCTGCAGCTCATAATGATTGTCTGTTCTGTGTTCTCAGCTGATGGAGGAAGGCAGAGACTGGCAGCAGAGGAGGCGGCATTCTGGGATGATGGCATTGTGAGGGGGTGTCAGGATGGACTGTGGTGAGGTGGAGACCCCCGAGCTCCCCCAGCCAGGAGCTCAGTGACCTCAGGTCTATGAACATGTTGCATATATGAATATATTTTAAAGCAGCATGTATTTTTATAGAGCTTTTTTTTAAAAATACAGCATTAAAAATATTAATTATTGGGGCGGGGTTTATTTATAAAGACAGGTGCCGTCCAATGGGAACGCATCAACAAACCAATCACATCTCAGTGATGAAATGTGATGTCATTGTTTTTTATCCAATGACCGAGAATTACACAGCTTGAATTAATTTCTTGCTGTGTGTATGCTGTTAGAGTGAACAGCCAGGCCAGCACACAGTGACCGTTACTTTCCATCATGCTTGTAAACTCTTTTCCATTAAAGTGGAATGGCTGATTTCAAATTCTTCTGAGACTTCTCTAAATCTCTTTTGGAGGCTCTTAAGCTGCACCAATCCCCTTCTTCTACCTTTGTGAAATGAAAGAAGTCATTAAAGAACCAGATCTCTTGCTTCCTGAAGCATCTTTTGCAGTTTGATGACTCACAGTTTTACTGTTTAATGGGAGGCCGGGAATCGAACTTGCGACAGCCACGTTGAGAACTAAGCTCTCCTTATGTGTAATGTATTAACCGCCAAATACATTTCTAACATAGTTTCACATAGATGTCAAGTGGAGAAATACTGCCACACACTAAAAACAAAAGAAACTGAATATTGATTAATGGCTGCTTCAATGCTGAGTTGCAGTAAGAGACAAATGTTGTCCTTGTAATGATACTGCCTGATTCTAAGGTTTTTGCCTGTTTACAGATGAGTCCAAGTGGATGATTTTTGACAAATATCATAAGATGTAGTTTACACTCATGGTTGAGATTGAGTAACCAGAAAGCGTATTTTTATAGTGGCCGCTGTCAGAGATGTGCAAGTCAAAAGAACCAAATACGAAAAAACTTGAACAAAATGTATTTCTAAATTGTGCTCCAATTTGTCCACCAACCTGGAGAAAACCCACACTTCAGAACCAGCCGGAATGATTCGCAGCCATGCAGGTGTAGTGGAGCTTTGCAAATTCGTAATGAACTGGCCCAAAACCGAAATTGAATTGAAATTACAACAGGTTTTTTTTTGTTTTTTTTGGGCAAAATAAACTTATAGCCAATCAGGTTCCGTTTGCGATTCGCGCTCGGCGGCCCGTGAACATGTTTATTTATTCAGCCACGGTGAGCGGAATGTCGCCGGTGATCCGTAACATATGAGTCACCCCATTTTCTACGGCAAATGTAAACGAAATGTTCCCAAAGACTGGGAATGACTTCAACTTGATAGCAAAAGTGATTATTTCAGAGAGAAATAAAAAGTGAACAAGTAAAGTGGACCGTACTGTAACGAGAATTTATTGACAAACTGGACAATTACTATCAGTCACACAAACATTTTGCTGAAGTAACAAGTCTGAAAAAAATAAAACGTAATGAAAGAGTTGATGTGTAGCCACTGAAGAGTTAAGGTTTCCAGTGACATTTTAAAAGGACAAAGACAGAGATGCTGCCGAGAGGCCGCTGCAGGAGAGATGAAGTGATCTGAAGGAGCTGCTGTCCATTTGAACCAGCAGAGCCCCAGAAATCACTTAGAGGCCAACAGGACTCCATCAGCACTTCAGAAAGAATCGCCCCGACTCATTTTATACCGCAGCGTGAGCCACCCTGAAAGTCTGTGAGCCTTTTATTTAGAGGTTATAAGACTGGTGCTCTGCCAGGACCCCGTCCAAAAAGCCTCCTCACAGCACTTCTTCACCATTTAGGCCCAATTCCTCTGTGTAGACAGCAGAGAAAATAACCTCTGCTGGTGTAATGTAGTCATCATGACATAAATTGGTGCCTTTTTAAGGTTTGTCTTCCTTGATTCTTTCTGCAGATCTTTTTTTTTTTAGTCCCACAGTTTCTTGTAGTGCATGGTGCTCAGATTGTTTTAATTTCATCTGTTCTCTGGTGTTTCCCTGCAGCACAGTCACCGGATTTTCTCCTCTTTTTGGTTTGGAAACCAAATCTGAGCTTGAAACAAACTGCTGTGGAGGCAATGGGACAAATGAAAAAAGTAGAATCTTCCAAACCAACTTTGAACTTTTTTAATGATTAAATGAAGAACACTTCACTGTGAACCTCTGAGTTGCTTGTTAGCAGCTGCTCATTTAGAAAGGAAGCTCACAGTTAGAGCTTCAAACTTTCCAGTTGCTTTCCCCCACATTGCCATGTTACAACTGTGGCATAAAGTGGAGCAACCATACAATTCATTTCGTTTGTTGCCAACAACGCCACCTGGGGTTTCCACCCAGGAACTAACAATCAAGGACACAGGTCCGGTTTTGCAATCAGCAAGAGACAGGTTTCAAGTCAATAATTTATCATCACAAAAGACACTTATACCTGAGCAAACAGGAAAGTCACAAAATAGGTCCGGCTAGGCTTACCAGTGGTACGACCAGGCCCTGGATGGTCGGTTCCAAAGCAAAAAAAAAAAAAAAAAAACATCAAAACAAACACCCGTGAATCACTCACTCCTTGTAGTTCCCTCCACCGATTGGTGTTAATCACGGCACAATCACACCCAAAACAAAAGGAACGCCACATCCAGGCCCGAGCGCACCACCGGCGGTCTAGAAAAATGAACAAAAGAAAGGTTGTTAAAATACAAATAAAAGATCCATAAAAGTGTCCATGAAAGATGTCCATAAAATCCTTATGCTTGACAGGCACGGCAAGATGGACGGAACGATCCAATCCGGAACAGAACGACAGCAGCCGCTCCTTGTTCTGATTTCAGGGAGACAAGCAGTCACTCCGTCCAGGCAAGACAGCAGCGTCAAGTGCGTGACCAACAGTGATGACTCCTAATATACATGCAAAACATGAAAAACAAAAAGATAAAATAGTTTTCGTCACTGAGTCCACATACCGACCAGGTCCAGCTCTTTTCACTTCCACCCAAACAGGAACATTCAAACTTCGGCACTTAACAGGAACCACTCCACCCACGATCAAACGTGGAGGTAAATGCGCACATACGTCCCTGCTGGTAAAAAGCTCTATCACTACAATGAGCAAACAGTTGTAAATGCGCAGGCAGCCAACCTTACCTGTACTCAGAATACAAACAGTTCAACACGGAAGCGGGATGCGCCACGTCTCAACAGCAAACAATAAGTGTCAGTCCGCAGCTTAGCTCAGCTTTTGTACTGAACATACTCTGTTGCTATTGGCCCACTGATAATCAACCTGCCAGCAGGTGCAGCCTCCACCTACTTCCTGCCACACAACCACAATCTTCCATATATTTTAATGGGATTTTAAATATGGCCGCTGCAGGAGATATTCAGCTCTGCCACAAAAACAACCCATTCTATAACACAGTACCCAGTGGTGTATGCTACTAGCTAAAACGTTAGACACTTCTACATGTTTGTTCACGTAAGTGTTTTGATTTTCTATATACTTATTTTGTGTGTGTTGTGTCCTTGTCTACACATGCTCAATAAAGTTTCTTTGAAAAAAAAAATAGAGAAAATGTTAGGAGAGGAAAACAGCTGGTGTGTAAACAGGCTTCCCCCATTTCAAAATAAGAGCATAAATATAAACGTCTAACTACTTGAAGAATTATTCAGTCAATTGCTTTGTGAAATACTTCAAAACGGAACGTTTATAAAACAGCCAGGTAAATTTGCGCTTTTGAATTTATCCAGAAAATTGAACTTAGGGGAAGCTTAATGAACGAAATGTTTTCAAAATGAGCAAAAACAAAACAAAAAATGAGCTCCACTGTTAGCCCATTAGCATAAGTGTGCTCACGGCAAGAAGTCAAAAAGCAGGCATGTCATCAGGTCTGAGATCAAGGCCACGTTGTGTTGATTTTGTTTTTCTTAAGCAACTTAAAATCCAATTTATCAAGTTATGAAGTGCACCAGTTCATCCTGCAGCCCACACCATGATAACTTATCAAAAGTTTCCATCTGGGCTTCAACTCTATTTTTAGAGCGACAGTAATCTTTCAGTACTGCAACATGTTTCATAATCTTTTCAATTTATTCCACTGTTTCGTGTGTTTCATCATGTTTTATCTTATTTTACTCACTGTGAAGCACTTTAATTAGTCTATCACTTATTATAAAGTTCTGTACAAATACATATTATTTCAGCTGTATGATTGCTCTGCCTGTGTTTTGTTTTGATTGGTAAAGAAGCTCACTTCTAGCTGAAGCTAAAACTTTGACTTACTTTTCAGATTTGAGGAACTCATCAGTTTGTCGGAGTAATTCAAACTTGAACACAACCCTATTGGTTTGTATGTTTCAGTCCTGTAAGAGAACCTGACAGCAACATCAATCTATTTTTTTCATCCAGTTAATATTTTGGATGTGTAGGTGGGTTTAAATTTGTTTTGAAGGCGGATATATGACTTTATTGTCTGAAACTTTTGGCTACTGGCTACCAGGGCCCCATAAATCAAAGACATGAAGGCTAATATTACAGTCGATATGCAAATCACAGCATTACACTCAACATGACAAACACTCTGATGTACTTATTAGTTTATTATACAACTTTAGAAGTGATATTCAGCTCTGCCACAAAAACAACCCATTCTTCGCCGCAAGCTTCAGAAGTGCAGGATAACGGGGTGCAACGCTTTGGGAAACCTGAATCCAGCTTCCTGTGGATCAGAGATGCAAACTGTTCTGGTTCTGGAGGGCCTGGAACTTTGGACCACCCAGCTCTTCCCGCCCTTCCACCTCCACTCTGCCGCTAAGACCATTCACCTAATTAAGCGCCGTAGTGAAACACACATCAAAGCAAAGAAGGAAAAAGAAAACCCATCAAGTTAGCTGGCAAGGGCTCCAAAAAACAATCTAAACATGAAGCGCGTGTAAGCATTTCTGCTGCCAAGCCCTTACTGTACGTCTCAGAGAACCACAAACCGTGCCAAACATCTTTGGAAGCGGCGGCGTTCGTAAGGACGGGCTGAGCTGGCCGGAGATGAGTGGAGGAACCTGATTGAGGAGAACGTCTGCTCACGTCTATTAGAGAATCACACAGCCTGGGGGGGCCGACCTCTGGGGCCACCTCACTGGTGCTAATGGTTATCAAGCATTAACTGGTACTGCCAATAACAGATGCTAAATAGGCAGGATCAGTCTGTGCCATCAGTATGCATAAAACTAATTAAACAACTTATTGCTACCTTCCTAAAACGATGGCACAAGGCAAGAAAAAGTGATTTCCTGGTGTCATCACACAGGACACCAACATACGGAGGCCTAAAGCAGATTGTGTTTTTAGGAACAGAGGTTTGATCAAACCCAAGACTAGACAAGTCTCTCACCCTGCTCAGGATCTCAACCCACAACCAAACTCCAGAAAACCAGCAAAGACCAACACTCCCAGACCAGTCCAGCAGCGTGGCCTTCAGGTACTGATGATGGCATCTGTAACAGTCAGAGGCTCGTCTGGTCACATCGTTCGCCTGGTGGGTGGAGATTATTCATTTTGAACCCCTTCCAACCAATCAGCAATGAGCTGAAACACAACAATTAGTCAGGCGCTCAGTCACAAAATTGACACACAAAGGATTTGGTTTGTTTGACAACATCAGTGCAATTTTGTTCCCCAAACAATCTGAGTCTGTTGGACTATCAGGTGTGAAAACATCCTTGGGTTTGATCCATCCACGTATTTTACGAGAGATAAACAAAGATTGTTTAAAAAGCGCAGTTTAACACACATTGTTTCCTGCAGAGCTGACTTTCAGCATCATGGTTACCAAAATCCTATTTCTGAACCAAAAACTATCTGCTCACACATTCTTTGGAGTGGGATGCCAGGCAGTTATCTCTATCGCCCAACGCTGAGCAGAACTGACTGCAGGCCAAGTTTTAACAGACAACTTTGAGCAAAAGAGAAAATAAAAGGTTTGCATGACACACCCTAAGTTTTCAATTTATCTCCATGAAATTCAAATACCCTCAATATTTCATTAGTCGTTTCTATCTGAAAGAGCGGGCTTAAAGATGTGACGCTCGTCACGTCGCAAGGATACAAGACAACTGCAATTTCCAGCCGCCGGGTTTCTCATTTTCTACCATTTGCTCCCGAGCGTAAGGTCACCGTGCATCACACAATGAACCTTTGGATCTGAGGAGGTGATTTGTAGTCGACGGTCCGGGTTATTACCGCCAGTCCGAATGCTGTGATGAAGGGGATGGGGACGCTTAGAGAGATATCGAGTCGAAGCGAGCGACGGAGTGAGAAAGGGAGGGAGAGTTACAAAAAAAAAAAAAAAGAAGGAAACAGAGTGTATGAAATTGGACTCAAAGCTTTACAAGACCCACGAGAGGGAAGGGACCGGCATAGGAAGGAAGGAGATCTGGAGTCAGATTAGGGAGGCTGAGAGAAACACTCGTTAAAGAAGAATGAAGCAGGAAACTCTGGGAGCTACATATCTTCTTGCTTTACGTAAGACGTCTGGCAGTCGAGCAGCAGCAGGTCATCTGAGGGGAAGGATTCCTCAAACAAGAGAATCTGGTTTTGATCTTTCGCATTTTCTCGCTTCGTAGCGCTGTTGCTGTGGCCGACATGCACAACAGTAACCACGGCTACAGGCTTTTGTTTGGGTGAGTCGTCAAAAGGAGATCAGGGTTGATGTGGCCAACGCATGTAGCTGTGATCTATTTATGTAAAGGAAAGCAAAACAAAACGCAACTTACTGCCACAATGTTGATTAGAAATAATATTGCTGACTGCAGCATGGCTGAGCATTACACAGAATTATAAAGAGGTGATTTTTTTCCCTTTAAAACACAATTTAAAGTACAACAACAAAGAATAATAATAATATCAATAAACCCAAAATATTTTGTTCTGAACCCTCAATGTGACGTTTCTACTGTCACATTGGGACACCACCGTCAGCCGCTAACATCTGCAGCAGGTCCTCCGATCGGCTCCTTCACTGTTTTTATTGACTCCCCACTTCTTTAGATCATCTCCAGGTTTAAGTATAATAATAAAATCATCATATTAAATCTGAACTGGATCACTCACGATTTCAAAAATAACATCACATGCACTTGGCAATCCTGCGCTGCAATGATCTACATTGATGATTGATTTCTTAAAAGACAATTTACAGTTTCAAGCTCATATATATCCTAAATAAAAGAAGTATAGAGAATTTAGTTTCTGTTTACAGATGAAAGATAAAGCTTTTTCGGCTTCTATTTCTTTATTGCTTCTGGTTGAGAATATTGGCTGAAAGCTGAGATCAGAGGCGGAGCAATAATTGGTATGTTTGGGGGGTTTTGGCACATCGCTCCTCTGCCCCTCCTCCTGCTCGTTCGCTGTCTGTTCAGAAGCAGCGGGGGGTTTCTGCACCTGTTAGTCTCAACGTTTACGGTCGGTTCAAGAGCTTGATTCCTCCGTCTTTGTTTACAGCTTGTGGTTCCTGAAATTTATTGTCAAATAACTATTGCAGTGCGTCTCTCTCCATTAACTTGCGCTCCCTTGAACTACCTTTGGCAAAAGGCTGCGCCAGGAAAGAACTGGAAAGGTCAGCGCAACAACTCATTAAAAAGTTTCTCTGGCTGATCAAGAGGGAGCCGGACAGCCTCCGAGTCCGAGCTCAACGTCAGATTAACGTTTCTTTGACTATGTACAAGGGACTAAATGATTTATTTATCAGCAGCAGCTGTCTGCAGTCGGTTTGGAAAAGGAATACAAAAGAGAGATGTGGGCAGTTTATTACTGCTGCTGCAACCGCACACTGCTCACAAAGTGCTGTTTGGCTTTAGGGTGAAACTTCCTGTGAAACCTTCACCCTGCAATGAATGCATCATAACAGCGAGGTATTCAAGTAGAAGCATGATACCGTGATTATCTGGGCTCAAACAAGGTACTGAAAACAAAACGACAGAGACAGATACGTCACAATAAAACACGTTAACGTCTCAGTCCGTGTTTTATGTCATTTACTAGTCGTCTGCTGAGGCGCCCGACTCCTCAGGTCATCAGCTGTGTTTCAACTGACTAAAACTGCGGCGCCTGAAAACACAAAAATAAATTGGCTTAATGAAAACATGACAATGTTGGAAAAAAATGTCAATTTTACGGAAAAGAGTTTTGCCAGAGGATGAAG